AGGCCAGGTTAGCCTGGTGTCAGCTCTGTCACCTTCGCAGCGCATTCAGTGGCTGAAATCAAGCCGGGAACTACATAGCCAGAACCGCCGTGATCAGGGCGGCAGCGGTGACTTTACATCACCGATGGCTGGCTGTGTCAGCACAGGATTATCTTATGAGCTCCGACATATTTTATTAGATTAACCACGTTTTTTTTTTTGGAAGGAAGCTGCCACGGTTGCACTGAGTTGTACGCTCCTTAGCTGGCACGCGTTAGGGGTTTCGGTCCTTTGATGAAGCGGTGGATTGGTAGATACGTGATAGCTGCAGCATAATTAGCGAACATCATGCGATGGGTCCGATCGATATAACGGTAGATCATCACCTCGGTTAGCTGCTCACCAGCAGAACTTTCCACCACGGTCATGCCTCACCGCCCGTCAGTGCCTACAGCACCATCCACTCACCCATGGTCCTGTTGCCGAGCCCCTTGGCCTTGAGTCCCTCGATCCTGGTCACGTTGCGCACCTGGCTGCCGTAGGCGACGGGGAAGCCGCGGCCGCCCGGGTAGACCAGCGTCGGACACTCGCGGCACGGCGCCGCCTCCTGCATCGGACACAGGTTGTCCTGGTCGGTGATGTTGGGGGGCAGCCGGCCGTAGTACACGTCGTTCTGCGCGCCCTCGTTCAGGCCGGCGCCCGGAGCTGCAACATGGCGCCCGTGAAGGGTCATATCACGTACCAGGGGTTGCAGAAACAAGGAACGAGCACCACCTGGCCCCACTCTGTGGGTGGGGCTGGCGACAGGGTACCAAGTCCGGTCACGATGCTCGCAGCAGTGGTCAGATTAGCCTAAACGAGGTCCACAGCAGGGAACAAGGGGAGAAAGCCAGGATCCGGAGCTGGAGACAGCAGCCTCTCTAACTGCCGCTACCGATCACACATTAAGGCACCAATTACATTCGCATAATCGGCCATGATAAGCCCTGCACGCTTAGGCCTGATTGTGGGCTTCTTATAAGAACGGATTTGCCTAATTTCATGTCTGGATGTGCCTGTGCTCTGTATATCACTTCGAGCTGCAGCAAGGTTGTACAGTCCGAACACCCCCGTATGGAGCCTGCACCTTCTATACCCATTTTTGAAGTCAAAGTTACGTTCAGAGCACAAGACCACACTGACTGGAAAATAAAGGAAACCATTTAATTCGATGACCGCGGTCAGACCTGAACGTGCAGGGCTTATTATGGCCAATTGTGCGGACGTGATTAGTGCCTTAATGCGTTATGCGCGCTAAATCTGAACAGCTTACATGTATGAGCAATGCCTGATGCGTCATGCGTGATGGTCGTTTACTTGAAATCGTTTGCATGTTTGAGTGATGTGTGATGCGTGATCCCCCGTGTACGTTAGATCGCTCGTTCGCATGTACGCGTTTTCAGGCATCGCTATCCATTAGATATACAATGTATCGTGATGATGACTGGCAAGTGCTCCTTGTTCAATCTCATAAATGCTTGTGACCTGTAAAAGCTGCGGCATGCTGTTTTAAAGAAGTCGAGTGAAATCGATAGGCAACTTCAAATTTACTGCCGATGGTCGTCTAAATCGTCTTGACAACGGCATGGAGCCGAAACATCAATGCATCTGTCTCTTTCTTCCTCCCTTTTTCCTGGTTATTGGACGAGGAATTAGGCTAACACTACTGTCTTTTAGTCTTATTGTGCAGCCTGTTTGTCCATTGAACGTGGGTTACTTTCGGAACGAGAGCTGACAATTCACGGTGTTTTCTGGGCTCTTGCTGGTCAGAAACCCGAGTAAGAAGTGATGTTCCTTGACAACTGCCCGGACGCTGCAGGAGTGCCGCCCGCTTCTCTCCCCGCCCGCATTGATGCCCGTGATTGTTTTGAATTCCCCCTCCCCAGGCCATTCCCAGCGCCACTTATTGTTCCCGGTTCCAGGTGTTCCATTGCTCCAGGTGGATTTATCTCCCAGTCGAATGCGCGTTTAGTTCGTTCGGGCGTGCCCTGAACGTTGTAGTGCCCGTCGATTGTAGGTTTTGTTCCGCCTTTCCTCTGCCAGTTGATGCAAGCACCAATTAGAATCAGTGGCATCTGCGTGCCTAAGGCCTGGATGCTTACGAAACGTCGTGTTTTTATTCCATTTACGAAATATTGCCCTCTGTGCACTCTATGACAATTTGATTCGGGTTTCTCAAGTATTGCAAGCAAACGTCTTGCGTCCCTTATACCACCGCGGGCAGGTTCTATCTTAATTGTCTGCGTAATCCGGAATATTAATCCAGTTATCCGCCTCGGGGTCATTTACCGCTTAGCAGCATGCAGGCTGCTTGGAATTAAAGGAGCTGCAGCTAACGCAAAGGCGCGGCATGAGTGGGGGGGGGGGGGGGAGGGGGAGCCTCCTTAGGTCTGTTTTATGGTGCTCCTTAGGAGCACTACATTCGACTCCTCCGAGTCTTTAATGGAGTATTGCATTGACTGGGTTCCGCCCATTCTTCTCCCCCCTTGAGAAAATCCTGGTTGCGGCCTTTAAACAGCACGTACGCGTTGCCTAGAACACAAATAAATGCTTGCTGCAGTCAAGCTGTGAGAAATTCAACAAAGTTGATTTTTGCAAGTATTTTTGCAAACATTTCTTTTCCATCGATGGAACTTTGCATGCAACTACCGTGAATATTTCAACTCCATCTCACCTAACAGCATTGCGCAATTAAAAAGCAGGCCACCCTGCAAATTTTTATACGCGGCGGAACGTCGTAGGGCGGTGGGGCTAAAAAATTCACCAAACATTAGCATCAGTGAAATGGCAAACGATCACTGAACAATGCGCATAGATGTACCATTAAATGTGCAGCATTCCACATCGCGTGGGTGCACATCTGCCCACATCCGCCGAAGAGGTCGTGGTCTCGCGACGTGGTCATCCGCACGATCTCCAGCTGGCTTGTGAGTCACCCGCTGGCTCAGCATCCAGTAAGTCAAAGTCGCAAATTCTCACCTCAGAGACCTAAGATATGACCGCGTTGTTCACGCTTAAATTCGGCAGTGTCCAAGCTCCCACGGAGAATTGCTGAAGGCGTTCGGCAGGTGGTGCAAAGGACCAAGGACAAGCATATAAAGTAGCAGATGTCGTTAGACGACTTGGCCGGTAGGAGTCGGTCTGGAGTGTTAAGCTATTGAAAAATGTATGCCCAATTCACCTAACGCATTAAAAAAACACGCGCACACATATTTCGAGTCCAAACACAGATTGGGCCGTGAGCATTGGTAGCCTATCTTCATATAGCCAGCTCACTGCGTTTTCATACGTCATTCATGAGCTATCTTTAAAAAGCCTGAGACCGTCGCGACGATAGCTCAGTTGGGAAGGCGCCAGGGGTGTCAGTCCGCTGTGTAGCAAACATGTGGGATCGCGCCTCAAGTGCCGCGCCTGCGCCGCCTGTCTATGGCAGCCAACTGGCAGCCGGCCGTGAGGGATAGGCCAGGCCGGCCCCGGCCGACCACGCACAGCGAAACGTGCGACGTCAACTCATCGGCTAGAACTGCCCGCGAAAACCATGGATCTGCCCTGCTAGGGCGGCGCAGCTCTGGTCTTTGCAACAGACTCAGCTTGGTAAAGTCCCTGATCTCGAAACGCATTTGCAAGGGGTGTTGTCAAAACTGAAATAACTTATTCAGCTATGTATGCGCATTGCATTGCCGCATTGAAGCGGCAATGCATTGCAAGAAAGCCGCATTGACAGGAATCACCGGGTCACTCCTGACTCAGCTCTTCAGAAACAACACGGAATCAAGCGTCATTATGGGACGAAGGCACACCAATATTTTGCAATCTACGAGCAAAAATACCGTGCTACCATTAGGTACAGCAACTGTGGTACTCCCAACACATTTGTCTGTGCCGTGGTCTGGAGATGCTCGATGGCTCCTGTGCCGTGGTCTGGAGATGCTCGATGGCCCCTGTCTCTTTACTGTAAAACTGCTCTGTCTGGAGGGTGTCTTTGGTATTCCCAATACATTTGTCTGTGCCGTGGTCCGGAGATGCTCGATGGCCCACAACAACTGCTCTGTCTCGAGGGTGTCTTTCGTGCAAATGCATAGATATCTACAGGTTACGTATACATAAGTACCTTATTAACTTCTGTCTATTCGTTTCGATTGCAGTTTTTTGTCTGCACTGTTCGTTGCTAGCACCTAATGCCTTTTCATGCTAGCACCTAATGCCTTTTCATGCTAGCACCTAATGCCTTTTTGAAATATATCCACAATGTTTTTGTTCAGGTGCGGTTTTTAGCAGACGGCTGCGATGTTTTTATTTTTATTTTCTGTCGAATTCGCCAGTTTCCCTTGCCATTTTGCATGGAAAATGTCAAGGGAAGCTGGCAACACAGCTGGTTCACAATGAGATGTCGAAAATCTCATTGGGGAGGAGGCAAGAGGAACAAAAGGGAGGGGGTCCCCCAGAGAGATGCAAAGCCTTAACCCACGGACAAGGGATTTAGGGCAGTGCGCTTGCTTAGCTATCAATGGCTGACTTGCGCCTGTCACCATGGCGGCTTGCGCAACCAACTTGTAATGAAGAGCACCATAAAAAGCAAAAAGCTTTGACCGCATTAGAACAATGCCCGTTGTCCAATGTCGCTCGGACGTGGTGTGCTCGTCATGCCCTCCGACTCCTTTCCCATGCCGGGTGAGGCGAGGCGAGGCATGCCCGTCGCTGAGTCAGCAGGGTGGCGAGCTGGGTCCCGCTGCCGAGCCTCGGGCCCGCTGGGCCACTGACCGGACACGTCAGCTCACTTTCCTCGGGTGACGGCAGCGCGCGCCGCCGATCCCCGGCCGTCGTCAGCCGGGGCAAGACCGTGACGGCGACGGTTTCCCTTTTGTTTACGCCTCCCAACGCGACCGGCAACAAAAAAACGCCTGATCGCACCTCTTACTTTCGCGGCGGGCGGCGCGCGGCGGGCGGCGGCGCGGGCGGCCAGTTCGTCCCCGACTGTCACCATGGTCTCCGCGCGTCCTGCGCTGCTCGCGCTTTGCTGCCTGCTGCCGCTGGCCGGCGGTCTCTCGTTCAGAGACCGGCTGGCGGAGAGCGTCAGCAGACTGTGGCGTCCGCGACCGCGCCAGGACCCGAGCCGCGGCCCCGACCGGGACGCCACGCTACGCTCAGTCAGCACGGAACCGCGCCGGCTGGACGGCGGCCTCGAGTTCACGCAGCGGCGTCGCTTCCTGCAGCCGCAGCAACATTTCTCGGTGTACAACCGGGCCGGCAGTGTCGAGCGGGCTGCGCTCGACTGGAGGCGGGCGGCCCAGAGGCGCGAGGACGGTCGCGAGGAGCGCCTCTGGGAGCGCCGCTGGGAGGACCGCCACGAGCAGCAGCATCAGGACGTACGCACCTCATCAGCAGAGAACAGCGACAGGAACGCGCGATGTGAGTGACCGAGACAGGCATGCCTGCGCCCTGGACAACGCCCTGCGAGCATCCAAGGGTTCTGACAGCACGGGAGTACACGTGTGGAGCGCCACATATGCCTGGGGTCAAAATGCCGTGCGGCGGTGGGTACGCAGGCGGGAAGCTGGCGGTGGCTTTTAATACGCTCCTATTTCAGGTCGCAGAGACACCCGCTAGTGATCCCCGCCAGTGATCTCCGAACCTCTCACGTATGTGAAAAGGAGTCACGAAGTTATCGACCTATTACGATAATCTTAATTTCACCTATTCCGAAAGCTTTAAAACCTTTATCCAGTGAGCGATTTCATAATTACAATGATATTAAGCAATGCAAGATCCGGTGATGACATCGAGCTATGCCGGATCCGATAAGATTAGCTCATCTCATTCGGATGCGTGGAGACATCGCGTAGGTGCGGCATGTCGCAGGCGTATTGCTTTGTATAATTTCGAGTTGTTCTATGTTATCTTTTCATTATAATGATATGAAACAAAATCGATAATTATCCGTCTAACCTGCACCTATTGTCATCCATCTAACTTCCCATGTCCTTTAATTTAAGCTTTATCCCTCTCCAATCGGTTGACCGTCATTTCTAGATTTATGCCGGGGGGGGGGGGGGGGGGGTTGCCTTGATGTCTACACACCACGGCGATGTCCTGCTCACTGGAATTAACCAACACCAACGCCCCTGAATCTGTGTTGCGCGACTTAAAAAGTCAAGTGAACTGAGGGGTGTTCCTAGCGCGCCGCGGTGCTCCATTCGACCAGCCGATCCTCTCATCGGGTCACCTCAACTGCGCATCGTGTTGTCAGCATGTGTTTTGCGTAAGGTGCGAACGTTGCATGCCTTGCGGGCGGTGCGCCCAGACCTGCATGTCGCAGCAGACGCCATTACGACGTGCTAATCGATGTTTGACTCGGTTCCCGACCTTCGAGAGCTTATCCCTGACCCCATGCGTGACCTCTGACATGACCCGACCTCACGCGTGAATCGTAACGTCACGCCTGCCCGGTCACCGCCAGTCCTGTCGCTGCTGACTCTGGTGAGATTCGACCACTTCACCTGCAACGCCTCCACCGGCGAGAACGGCACCTGCTACACCGAGCGCGAGTGCAGCGGCATGGGCGGCGTGGCCAGCGGCGCCTGTGCCGACGACTACGGCGTCTGCTGCGTCTGTGAGTTCTCTTTACCCCGGGGCCCGTTCAGCAGCAGGAAACAGCCGATCATGCATATTTCATGAGCCGAACGGTCGGATGAGCTGGATTTTCACATACATAAGCGCAGTACAAACGACGCACTTGCCTTAGATATGACTCAGAAGCCCTCAAACCAAGCTCATCTAGTGCCACCGAGTCAAAGTCTGAGGGTATTGCCACAGCACTGAAGGAATGGACATGGGTTGGGGACTAAGCCCAGGAAGCGCGAATCTTTATCCCGCAGAAAGTCGGTCGTAGCTGAAAGTGGGAAAACAGACTCTATCTACGCTACACTGAATAGCTTTATTGTCAGAAACCACCAACTCAGCTTCGGCACACTTTAAGACACAAACACGATGAAATGTAAAAGCAGTTTTGGTGGGCTGCAGCTTGTTACCGCTCTGAGCATGAGTGATTGGACTAAAAGACCGGCTTTCTTGGCGAGGTTTCATTTCCGGGGAAAAATTAGGTCTTGACTTAGCTTGTGCCGGCTGACGCTGATGGATTAATTGAGATATAGCCTCAAGTGTAATTCCGATAGCCTGGGAGGTTTCGGCTGAAGTGGACTTCAGCTAGTTGCCTGACGCCAGCTATGTGGGAGGGACTTGGGCCACATTGCTTTTTATTAATAATGCAGTGAACTGAACTGAATACTGAACGACACTGAACACTGAATACCGGTACATTCGAGATATGGCAGCATTGTGACATTCAGGTTCGTCATGAGTGGCCTGAACAATAGCCAATACAGCTTGTGTTGCCTGCCAAGTTAAGCATGTACTCCGAAAGTTATGCACGCTCTTGCGGGCTACTTTGACCATTGGCAAATTCGTGACTATCCAACTACAGCCTCTCACCCCGGCGAAATTGTAACCTGAGCTTTTCCTCCTCAGTCACGAAGAGTTGCGGAGACCGCATCAGCATCAACAACACATATTTCGTCAACGAGGGCTACCCGGGGTCGTACGACGCCACCGGCTCCTGTCAGGTCACCATCGACAAGGTGCACGACAACATCTGCCAGTTCAGGTGTGTGATGACCGCGTCCCTCGCTGCGTCACGCTCGCCGCGTCACGTTCTACGGTGAGGAGGGCGGGGATCAGAAATAACTGACTCCTACGCTACTTCCAATATAGTGTCGTGACACCCGTCACGTGATCACGTAGGGAGCCCGAGGCTAGCTACCATGGTAGAGCAGTCCGTTCCCGAAATGGAGTCCAGTGGACGCGTGATTGGAATCTCGGATATTTAGCGCCGCCGTTTCTCGCCACGATCGCTGTCGAGGTCACCGCAACCCAACTCGTAACGAGTCTCGAACCCACACTCTGGCGACTGGGAGCTTAGCGTCCCACACTCTGGCGACTGGGAGCTTAAGATCCCACACTCTGGCGACTGGGAGCTTAACATCCCACACCCTGGCGACTGGGGGCTTAACATCCCACACTCTGGCGACTGGGAGCTTAACATCCCACACTCTGGCGACTGGGAGCTTAACATCCCACACTCTGGCGACTGGGAGCTTAACATCCCACACTCTGGCGACTGGGAGCTTAACATCCCACACTCTGGCGACTGGGAGCTTAACATGCCACACTCTGGCGACTGGGAGCTTAACATGCTACACTCTGGCGACTGGGAGCTTAACATGCCACACTCTGGCGACTGGGAGCTTAACATCCCACACTCTGGCGACTGGGAGCTTAACATGCCATGCTCTGGCGACTGGGAGCTTAACATCCCACACTCTGGCGACTGGGAGCTTAACATCCCACACGCTGGCGACTGGGAGCTTAACATCCCACACTCTGGTGGCTGGAAGCTTAACATCCCACACTCTGGCGGCTGGGAGCTTAACATCCCACACTCTGGCGACTGGGAGCTTAACATCCCACACGCTGGCGACTGGGAGCTTAACATCCCACACTCTGGCGACTGGGAGCTTAACATCCCACACTCTGGCGACTGGGAGCTTAACATCCCACACTCTGGTGGCTGGGAGCTTAACATGCCACACTCTGGTGGCTGGGAGCTTAACATGCCACACTCTGGCGACTGGGAGCTTAACATCCCACACTCTGGCGACTGGGAGCTTAACATCCCACACGCTGGCGAATGGGAGCTTAACATCCCACACTCTGGCGACTGGGAGCTTAACATCCCACACTCTGGCGACTGGGAGCTTAACATCCCACACTCTGGCGACTGGGAGCTTAACATCCCACACCCTGGCGACTGGGAGCTTAACATCCCACCAACGCCTCACAAGACATAATTCTGACCGAAACAGTAAACCAATCCCCTTTGGGCAAAGCGACTTCATGTAGCTGTCAAGCCACGAATGCACCAAAAAGCAGGTCTCAGTCATCCCCCAGCCTCGCTGACAAGGAGCGTTTCAGTGTCTGCCCGGGTCCATTCACATATCTGCTGCCTGGCCATCAGACCGCAGTGACTACAGTGTCCAGGTTCTCACTAGCACAGTGATAAAACACCAGAGCAAACCTCCTACTATTATCTAATTTAATGCGCATTTGACTTTTGGTGGGTATGATGACGCTAATTAATACATTCTTCCTCTGAGCGCTTAACCAACTCCTATAAACGCCGTAGGCGCTATGTATGTTGTCTAAGCCAGCAAGTCCTCCCCGCCGCGAATCAGCTGCAATACCGCGCGAGCGCACTAAACCACCGTCATGGCGTGAACAACTTCGGCCCGGTCTTCTCATCCGCCATCCCCACAGGGGGAGGGGGGGGGGGGAGGTACAGTTTACAGCTCAGCGCTCTGCGCCGGTCCTGGCTCATCACTCCAGCTGTCGTGCAGTCTTGGCTGCGGCTCGGCTAGAACGGTTTCGAGCATCCGGACACGAGTGGGCGCTCGCTCCGGCAGCGACCCGAGCGCTGGGTTGCGTTCGCCGCGTCATTAGCTGTCATTTGGTCAGCCATGTGTCGGAACGCGCTTGTGTGCTGCGCGAAGCGAGCACGAAACTGAGCGGCTGAGGGGTATCTTTCTTTTGGTGCCTTCTTTTCATCCCTTCTCTTCTCGTCAGCTGCATGGCTCGGCTGAGCAATAAGAACTGCTATGATGGGATCAAGTCAGCATATGTATCAGGTCAGTGGCGTTATCTGACCTTAAGAATTCGAAGCTGACCAAAAACCTTTGATGTTATTTTGACATTTGAAACAAATTCAGCATCTGCTATGATGGGATCAAGTCAGCATATGTATCAGGTCAGTGACGTTATCTGACCTTTAGAATGCGAAGCTGACCAAAAACCTTTGAGGTTATTTTGACATTTGAAATAAATTCAGCATCGAGAACGGCCATAGGGACATGAGCTTGAAAGTAAGGATTCACCGGGGTCATTTTAGGTAATGACCTTTCCTGACGTTCATGAAGTCAGCATAAGAAGACTGGTGACGTCCTCAAGATCAATTATTCTAAATGACCGTCAAAAATGTCACTTCAAGCAAGTTTTTCAGGAAAAAATCATTGGCTTTGGCCTTGATCTTACATTTATACCTGGCCAAAGGCCAAAAGAACTTAATGATCAGCATGATTTCAATTGTATTATTGACTAAAAAACATCACAATGTTGCATGACTTCGTCTAACACCGTTGTCGCATAAGCTTGCAAGATTTCCAAACAATTGCCTTCGCTGACAACCGTGGCCTGACTTTGACCTGCCAACGGCTGGTAACCTTTAGAGGCATATGTGATAATGTTAAACCAAATAATCGGCATTTCATTGTCTACAACCATACAAAGTATGGCCTAGCTGCGCCGCACCGTTCGGAAGTTCTTGTGGAAAAACCCTACGGGACTAATTGAACCTCCCCCATCCGACCGCGTGATACGGTAGACTGACTTCCACTCGCTTATCAAGAGCAATGGCAATGGGATAATTCTTCTACAGAAGTGGCGGAATACTGCTGCCTCAGACGCAGTTTCTACCACTTGCTTCTGGCTTTTGATTCCCGGCCTCATGTTGATGACTTCTAATGACGTCGTACATAAAAAGTCGGCACTCGAGTTTTCCTTTGATCGTAACTTGCCTGGACACAGCAATTTTCTCCATTTTCTCCCAAAATACGTTGGAGGAAAAGCCAAACATTACATAAGTTCCCTTTTTAGATGCTCTTCCGTTGTCTAGTGAGCTAATCTTAAAGTTGCACATGGATGAGCTCACAGAAATTATAAATTGGTCCAATACACCCACATCTGCACCGTCATCGGCACCAAGGAATCGATCGTCAACACTCTTGATGTGAATGTAAAATATATCTGGCGTGGTCGAAAGATACCGCTTCCTCCGTAACACGCGACGTGTGTTGCAAAACGAAGTCGTTTCCTAACGCCGTTATGCACTAAAGCTCTTAATGCCGTCAGAATGCGACCAGCTCAAGAGAATGCAAGCTGCAAGCCAAAGGCACGCTTCCTCCTAATTTTAGCCGAATCGTCACTGGTCTATGCCGCGAAGTAATTGGTTCAATGCGATTTTAACGCCCTCAAAGATCAGCTGTGCACGCAATAAGGAACATTTTAGTTAACGTGTGGGCCAATTACCGCCCCAGAAGAGCTTGCTAAATGAGATCCGAAAGCCTAGACGATCTCCATGCTTAAGCTATGCTTAAGTTAGATTATTATGTCGTTTCCTTTACCGAAATGTTGGATGGAAACGTTGAAAGGTTTCTGAGAGCCTTACTGTGCTTTAACTGCAACGGATTACCCTCTCGCTCAGAATAAAAGTCTTGTAAAATGCCTGCAACGTCGTCACCAAGAAAATTATCGCAGATATCTGTTCGTAACTGTGACATACTCTGGTGAGACTACTCAGCGAGCGTGCGTAATATCGTGGTCACACCGTTGCCCGTGAGGAAGAACCTATGCTTATAGATCGGAACGGCACATACCTTCTGGACACGCTCGTGTACGACGACGTCGTCATTGATGAACACGGAAAAACAGCAATTGGACATTGCACCCTTACCATTCTACATTCTCAAAACAGCTAGCCTTACCAGAGTTTCCGTCTCCTACTTATTTTTATATCACAACGCAGGCGTCTAGACATCTCGCTCGCTACACCAGTCGCTTGGCGCCAGTTTCATCGCGTCATATGCTTATATATTGTTTGTTTTGTTTGTCAAACTGGCGCAACAACCTAGAACATTGACAAGAGATGTGTTCGTAGCGATTACTTTAAGTGATGCAGGAGAGACAACTAACGCAAAATGGCTTTGTCACTGCTTGCGTTTGGATGGATAAGAGGGCACGGCACCTGAGTTTAGATGATGGGTTGGAGATGAGATGGAGATCTTGTAATGCACTTAGCCAGATTGGTGCTGCGCTTTAAAGCGCATATTAAGGAATAAGACGTTTGAAGTTTTCGTATTCATTCTTCTCAAAGCGAGAACAAAATACTGGTGTAAAAAACAGCTTTCAATCGGAAACAAACGCCTGAAATTGTACCACGTCCACACTCTGTTTTCGGACGTCTATGGGCTGCAACGCTATCCGCAATAAAAATACCGCTAGCTAGTATTCGCCTCAAATAGGGTCCGTGTTCAAGCTTATATTTCGAAGGTATGTTGTGACGCAAAAGGAAGATTAGAAGAAAGAAAGCAGTGCATCTGGAAGCGATGCCATATTTTCTGCATGTTTGACAAGGCCTGTTTTTCGCATGCCCTGTCCCTGTAAGGATCCAGCAAAAAATGTTAGCGCACACATGAACGCTTTAACAGGTAAAACATGGTTATACAAATAAACAATCAAAAGCTGTCGGATAAACTTGTGAGCGCTGTAGTTTTCGTCAGGGGTGAAAAAGTGTCTTTTTTATCACCAACGAAATTTGGAACCGTCCAAACTACCGCCTGGAGCCAAAGATTTCAGAAACCGTTGCAATGCATCTTTAAATGCGATAAACCATAAAACAGATACAAATTAATTAAAATACGGCATAGCCACCAAACGTTTTCGTTTCGGGAGTTCATTTGCCCTAAAGTATCATTTGCCCTAAAGTATCATTTGCTGGCCATCAAATACTGAATGATGGCTGAGACTTAACTAATAAAACCATCAGATAAATTTATGCTTAACATAACCAGCCTAGAGGCGTTTAGTTCCCTTCTCGGTTGAAGCAAGAGAGGCGTTGGGCCTCTTAACCAGGATTGAAGTTTCCTATTTTTATCATTATTTTGTATAGTTCTCCGTTTACTTTTATCCATTGTTTCCCATAACTCATAGTTTTTAGGGGTCGGCCTCCCACAAGGTAATTTTGAGAGAGTACATCACTACTATCATCTGTGAAAAGATGGCGCGCCAAAGCTGGGGGAAAGCTGATTTGAGTGCGTTTCGAAGGCAGACTCAGTCATTTTTTCTGCATCCTCCTACCCCTCTCTCAACCCCACGTATTTTGAAAATTTATGTCCCTGTAGCCCCACGTTCATCGATGAAATGGTTCTACAAGGGTTTGGAGACAATACCACTTTTGGTTTTGTGACGCCAGCGTACGATCACATGTAATGGTTATCGATTTTCATCATCTTTACCTAGTCGTTACCGGTGCAGAATTCGCCGCTCCCAACATGATCCGAACTATTTAGGGCGAAACCCATGCAATATTGGCATCAACAGACGCAAACAACGTTTTTGAACACCTGAGCACCTTTATTTAGCTTATATGTAACATAATGAGAACTAAAAACATTTTATCTCACGCCTGTCCACCGATAAGTATGCTACCTTTGAGGTGCAGCGGGCAATGTGAGACGCTACGACAGCGATGCTCGGCCTCTTACCTCAAAGCCGCTGTCCCTCTCAGCGGCAGGAAGCCCCAGATGAATCCTTCGCATGTATCGCTCAAACGTCCTCCATTTATCTCTGCAGCTACAGCTCAGGTATCCACAAACTATAATCCTCCTAGATCAACAGGGATTTTGACGCTATTGCCTCAAAAAGCCGACGATTAGCTACGCTCTTGTAGCCAGCCAGCTTCTCACATGAACACAACCAACAGCAGCCCACAGTCTTGCACTGAACCCAACCATCACCGCGCGGCGACCATTCGCGCCCATCTGTCTCAAATGACACGACGCTTTAAAACGCTGCGCAGCAAACTGATAACATTCGTCGCGAGGTGCTGCGGCCAGCTGCGGTTCTTACGACTAGTTATAAGCCTAGTTATTTGTGATTGTACACTGTTTAGTATGCAGAGTGAATCTTGAATGAAGAATCTGTGAAAAGCACTGACCTGAGGGGAATTGGAAAAAACACTGTGTTACCACTGGTCTGTGGCGTACATCCTTTACCTTTTTTCTTCTCTGATATAGTATAATTTGTAATGTATTTCTGTCACATGCTGAAAGCTACCCTGATTAAAGCTTCTTTGTATGGCAGCACCTTATGGCTCTACTTGTTCATACGGCGGAACGTCTACGTTTCGACACGTGCTCTACACATGTCCACCCTGCAAGCGTTAGCGTGTACGGGCTAATACTAAGCTTTGAGTTTCATCTAGCTGGGGTGGTCTGTTGTTATATGCTCTGTTTTGTTGAAATTTGTTTTCAGCTTCAAAATTGTGTTACCAATAAGCATAACAAATATCAGTTTTTCACCCACCATATCCGGTAAATCAGAGGCTTCTTCTCCCCTGGTTCTCGTTTTGCCAGTGCCCATCGTCGCCTTTTTCCCCAGATACACTGAAAGCAGCCTCGTGCTTTATTTTTAGCCTACGACTTAACTCTTGCAGATTGACTTGACTACGTGGAAGCGACATGACGACGACGACGTAAGCGTGTCTTGGCCGGTTTCAGATTGGACTTCGATACCTTCTCTATCGCCCAGCCAGAGCCGCTGAACAACATCTGCATGAACGACCAGTTTTCGGTGTCCGGCTCCACATCCATGCCACTGATATGCGGCTTCAGCACCGGCAACCACAGTAAGGCGGCCCTGGTGCTGCGGAGCATTGTTAAAAGTAAAAGCATGCATCGATCAGTGACCCTTTAAATAATACCCGCCTGTATGCGTCATTAATATCTCTAAAAAACTGGAGTGGTTTCATCACAGAAGCATTACGGACGTGGAACATGCGAGGGATTTTAAGGATAGATAATATGTAGATAACACAAGGTAATATATACATAATGTGCAGATAACACAAGGTGCGCAAGGTGTTCAAAGTCATCTGGCAAGAAGTGGGTGAATATTCCAAATGACACATCATTTATTCTTCAAAAGCAGCCTATCCTGCCCGACACGGTGGCAGAAGCTTTTTTAAGACACACGGATGTGCACGGATGCGTAGCTTACTATTGTCCGCCACATTAACCCAAATTCGGTCGCGTAGAGTGATCACGCTTAATATGACGGTACCTAGTAGGCAGGAGGTGGTCAACAGAGCACGACCGGACCGAAAGTCAGATTTATAGCATCAGGTCTCGGAATGAATAGAGAGGAGCGAGAGAGAGAGAAGAGAGAGAGGAGAGAGTAGAGAGATGATAGGAGAAGAGAGAGGAGAGATAGCGCG